CTGCAGACTATCTGGTCAGATTAAGCTTTTGGCAGATCCCCTCTTCCCACAGGTGAGGGACTTGAACAGTTTTACTAACAGACAGAGATTATTGTAAACTTGATTGTGGTGAATCAAAACATGGTATAATATGATACATGATCAGTTGACCTCCCTCTTGGCCCAACCTGAATATGCTCTAGGTTCAAATATTTCTCACTTATATGACAGAAATTTCTTCTCTGACTTTTTTAATATTGTTGGTGGCCTTTTCTTTCTTATGCTTTATTTTTATCTATATGCTATTGTTTTCTTCTTTCTGTTTCATTTTGTTTTTGTTTTTATTGCTTCTGTTAGGTTTAGTTTTCTGTGTTTGTAGTGTCTTTGCCTCATTTTGGTTTCAGAGTTCTGTTGGCTTCATAGAATGAATTTAGGAGTTTGCTCTCTCTTTGCATATTCTGGAATACTCTGTGGAATTGGTGACTGTAGTTCACTGAATACTTGGCAGATTTTCTGTATGAAGCCATCTGATCATGTGCTCTTTTTTTTGGTGGAGATTTCTTGATGAATCTTATCTTTTTCTTCTTTTTTTCTTAGGTCTGTTCAGGTTTTGTATATCCACCTACATTTATTTGGGTAAATAGTGTATTTCTCAGTATTTGTCCATTTCTTCTAGTTTATCAAATTTGCTGGAGTATAATCTTTTGTACTACTGTGTTACTATTATTTTTTATTTCATTGGTATGTGTTGTGATATCACTTACACTTTTCATCTTTAACTCTATGTTTGCATCTTCTCTTTTTTCCTTTGCTATGTTTGTCAGCGATTTGTTAAATTTGTTTATTCTAAAAAAAAAAGTCTTGTTTTTTCCCCATTGTTTTCAATTGGCTTATTTCTGCTTTAATTTTGTGATTTCTTTTCTTCTATTGTTGAAGGATTTATATTGTTGTCCTCGTTCGATTTGTTGAAGTTCTTGAGTTAAGCTGTTGATTGTAGATCTCTCCTCTTTTTTTCATGTGTGTGTCGATAGTTATAAATTGTCCTGTGATAACTGCTTTTGCTGTGTCCCAAGGATTTTGGTATGATGTATTATTATCCTTATTGATCTCAAGGAATTTCATCCCTTATTTGATCTATTATTGTATTTTTGGCTGCTGTTTTTATGTTATATTTTTCTATCCTTTAAGTTTCAAACTGTTGGTGTATTTTAATATAAAGCTCGTGTCCTGCAAACAGCAGTAAGTCGCACTTTGGTTTTACAATATATATTTGTATTTAATTGTTTATTTTGTTCTTTTTGACATTATTGTTGATATAGTTGAATTTCAGTACACCATATTTCTTTTTGTTTTCTATATGTCTCATGACTCATTTAGTCCTATCTCTCTTCTTGAGTGAATATTTTCTGGTGTAAGTTTTCATTCCTTTAATGATTTAGCTATATAACTATATGCTTTAACTAATGATTTAACAACTAACTATATTTAGTTGTTGCTCTAGGAATTCAACACTTATCTTATCAGAATTGAATTGAGTTTTCTAACATAATTCCAGAAAACCTATATTGGATTTGATTCTGCTATTTATTAACTTTGTGATTTAGTTAAATCATATGCTACCTTCTGTCCCATGCCTTTGAGAGTAAGGCTTTGATAATAGATTGCAAATGAACAGATCCAGAGATTTTCAAAATTTAAAACTATTCACAACTGTTCAAAAGCCATAAATTCTATTAGAATTTGTCAACATCTTATGACCAATTTTCATCAGGAAAGCAGAAATTCTTTTGTTTGTACATGAACTAGTTGAGTTGGACAGAGTAGTGAATATTCTATCAAAGGAACATGTGGCTAAATTTTTTAGGTCATGCCCTATTTTTCTCATGTATAAAATAGGACTAATAGTATCTACTCTTTCATCGATTAGGTAAAAATAAACTACTTAAAACAGCGCCTGGTATATTGTAATGCTCAAGGAATACAACTGTTGTCATTATTATTGTTATTAAGTTGAATTTTTTTCTAACCTCTGCCAAGTAATTAAGACAGCCAATACTCTTTCCAAAGATCATTGGTTAAAATTTTTATTTTCTCTGCCAATTCTGCTTTGAGCAACTTAAACTTCTTATTGTTGAAGCCTGTTCAGTAAATGAGGTGGTGAACTCAATTGCTTGAGAAACAGCTAGGAGTGATTGTGTTCCAATGTGAAGGATGAGTTAAAAATCTTCCAGGAACTATGCTTGAAAAAAAAAAAGTTTCCCCTCCTTTCAGGGTTGTAGTGAGATAAGTGAACCGGTTTGAAACCTGAGCTTCTGCTCTATTTTCCCATTGAAGTATGACTGTATAATAAAAAAGAAAGGCTATAGGAATAAACACTTTGCATTTTTTAAAAAGAATTTAAGCCAAACACTAAGTAATGCAAAGTTAATAATTAAATGACTCCATTTTCTTAAAACAGTGACAATATGAGATGTAGTTATACTCTTAGACACCAATCCATAGAAATACTTAAAATCCTTGGTTACATTTGTAATGTTTCTAGGGAAACTAATTAAGTGTTGAGCCTCTGGAATTTGGGGTGCATATATCCAGACCTTTGATATTGTTGGCAGAAGGAAAAATTGATTTGAGTTAGGATTGTGAAGGTCTGAAATATCTGGCTGTTCTTATTTAAGTGTGTAAATTCCCAGTTGGAAAGTAGTCATATTTTGGTTACTTTATTTTCAAACAGATAAAAATTAGACGTGTACTCTCTCAGATATTTTAAAATACATATTGGGGGTGATGGTGACATATACACTCCCCTCTAGTGTCACAAATAGCAGAAACTCAATGAAGGCTTTCTGAAAGGACTATTTGGGTTCAATTGTGTGGTTATAAACTAGTTGTTTGTAGAATACCATGGACAAGTTTTGATTTTTCTTCTTTAATTTTGAAAATATGAGACAAAGCAGAACTAGGTTTTCAGTGAAAGAGGGAGGTGAGGGATAAAAGGAATATTTGTGACTATACTTTAGTACTTTCTTATCCATAGGGCTTTTTCTCTCTGTGTGTGCGTACTATGGCCTACAATGATGCTTGATGTGATTCATCTAATATTAATTTTGGATTTCCAGAAAGGGGCCCTATTTATCTTCTTGGAGTTTACAATTTGGAGAAATTGAGTTAAATCACATAATTACACAAATAATTACACCTCAACATATAAAATTATACCTGTGTTGAATTCTTTGAAGAAAAGATTTATGATGCTATAGGAACATATAAGTGGATATTCCCTAAAGTAGGGTTTGAGGAAGTGTTCCCTGAGGTCATGATTGCTGGGATAAATTCTTAAAAAAAATAAGAATAAACTTGGATAAGATAAGTAGGAAATTGGAGTGTTCTAACAGAAAGAACACGATGTGAAAATTTTTGTACTGAGTGTGGTCATATCTCATTGAAGGAGCTGAAAAAAGCCAGCAAAACTGGAGAGAGAAAGAGGAAATAGATCCTAGAGTGACAAGGTAAAATTCCTGTTATGGAGTGCCTGCATTCCTTGATTCTCTTGGGAAAAAAATGATGGAACATGAATTGGAAGACTGAGAGATTATTAAACCAAAGAGGACACAGCTAGTGAGTCTCTCACGTAGACACAGAGTGAACTCTGCTATAGGTTGAGTTTAGTCATTTTAGTATGTCGAGTTGCTACATAGAGCATCCCTGTCCCCATCAAGGCTTTTTTTATCCCCACCCCTTTTTCTTCCTAAGCTAGCATCCTCCCCACCTTCACTTTCCTCGATCCTCTTCTTGACTTAAAATGACAGTCATCCATTAAGATCCAGCTCAAATCCTGCCGCCTCTGGGAAGTTGTCCTGGCCCAGCAAGCAATTAAGTTACAGATGGACAGTAAATTTAGTCAACTAATTCAGATCAGGGAGAGGGGAGGGAGAAAGGAAAATTAGGGGGTGGGGGGTGGGAAGCAGTGTGAGTGACCAAGGCTGTAAAACTACGCACAAAAATAACTTGCCCAAGGGTCGGGAAGCTGTTCTGGCTATGAGAACTGCCTATCATACACAGATTGCATTTGTATTATTTATTTTGTTTTTTAGCAAACCTCTAAAATTTCCGTGGTAATTTGATTGCCTACCAGGCAGCTATTAAGAGAAATATAGACCCTCCTTTTGCTGCAAAGCATTTCCCTGTCCTTGGAAGGTGGGTGTGAGAGTTCTGGGACCCCACTTCAGTGCCTTAGTGAGAACAGTACTGAATTTTATTTGTTGCTGGTGGTGGTAAATTCTAATTCTGCATAGCATCAGAATGTGCTTATGGTACCTTTTTATTTTGCCTTTTCCTTGTTCCCTGCTTACTGTTATCAATATTGTTGTTTTAAACAAGTTGGAAGAAACATGGGGTGCTCATAATTGAAAGACTCCTCTCAGTTTAAAGTCTTGTCTCCAGGTTCTCATTAAAATTCTAAAGAGATGGACGTCCTGCCAGAAGGACAAGTACATCGTTTTCTTTGTAAATTAATTGGTCAGAAAAGAAACTTTTCATATTGTCAAGTGGCACTTAAGCTGTTAATTCTTGATTGTGAAAACTGCTTTTCCTGGGCAATGCTCTTTAAGGAAAAACTTTTTCAGTCCAGTGATTGGTGACTAAGGGAACGATGGAGCACAGGGGATTGGGCGGGATCTTGGCTCCTAATAATGCCTCCTTATCCAATGAAAAGCATTTCCTATTGAGACCCCCAAGAGTTCCCCCAGCTCTCGGCTCCAGCCCAGACTTCAGGCCCTTTCTTGTGTTCCGTTTGTTAATGGCTTGCTGGCAACTTCTAGAGGCCAGTGCTTAACAAAGGGAAAGAGATCAATGTAAATAGGCTTACATTTTCAGAATGAGAAGTTTGCAGTGAGAAGCTGCGGCAGCTCAGAGTCTGCTGCTCTTGGGCTGGACTAACCTTTCCCTGTTTTTTTTTTTTTTTAAATGGATATGTGCTTCCACAGTGCGAGTTGTCCGTTTACATGTTTACTAGCTAGCTGTCTGCAGGCATGAGCACACTCTCTCATCTAGCATACTCTTTCTTTGGGTAAGTCTCTTTGAGAATGATTTGATTTGGACTTTGAGGGTGGGGGAGCGGCATAACAAACCAGTGGAAAAACTGATGCTTTCAGTATTTTGGGAAAGAAATGAGATTTCAGCTCTGAAGTTCTGATCAGAGATTGACGTGTTGAATGGCAAAAAGAAACCAAAACAAAAAGAATTTCTATTGTTTTGGCTATAAGATTGCTTCCGTGAGAGAGAGAAAGGATTTTTCAGACTGTTATTTGATGTAAACACAGTTGTCCTGAGAAGCTGATTTAAAATCACAAAGCAGAGCAATTTAGAACTCTTTTGCCAGCTTTATATTTCTTTGGTTTACAATTAATTTCCAACTAAAGTAAGTTTGATTTTGATGAGATTTCTGCTAGTCAAACTATATAGGACATGCTTTTGATGTTTAATTGATTTATGGAGAACGTGACATTTGTTATAATGAATAATTCATGAGCTTGACCAGAAGGGAAGAAATGGGTTTCAATGAAAAACTAATTCTGGCAAACATTGCAATTATATTAAATTAGTTGCCGGTTGTCATACAAATGCAATAATCTTTGTATTGCTTTTCTTGTTATACCTTGAATACTTTAACAATTTTTAGTGAAAAGATCTTGTAGAATTGATAAATATTATATTGCAGTTACTTTGTGTTAGGAAGCATAGCAGTGTAATTTTGCACTATTTCAGTGTGAACAACTCCAAAGGGTAAACATCTCAGAGCTTGTTGATTGCTATTCATTGGTCAGTATGAGTCAAAAATCTACTCAATAGCAGTGAGTTTTAACTTTACCAAATCACACCATCTTTCTTTTTCTTTGACTAACATGAATTGTCCAAGCTCAAAATTGTTCAGAGGTTTGTGAACATGTTTTCTTCCCTTCAGAAGAAACTTCCAGACAACGTAACCTGTAAACATAGACTATAAATCACTCTGTCACACATGAAAAGTTGTATTCTTGTTCAGAAGGAGGGTTCAGCTGATACACTTGATGGTGTTTACATTCTGTTGTACATAAGGTCACTACAAGTCTGCACCCATCCGACAACACGTTCTGCCAATCAGAAATGCAAATGAAAGCTCTATTGGATCTGACCAGCTTTTCAGAATGTAGATGCTCTGAAAGTTAGAGAGGATTGGGGAGATGCTTCAGAGGGAACAACAGGCCACGTTTAGGTAAAGCTTAATTTATTAATTCTCTCTTTGAGTGAAAATATAATTACTATGTTTGCCTTTGCGATAATTTGATAAGGGTCTAATTGGGTGATTGCCTTTTTTTCTGTTTAGGATCATCAGCATAGTCTTTTCTTGGTCAACTGATGGAGGAGGGGAAAAAAACTAGTACATTTGTGAATGTTGGTACTGAAAATTGAGAGCTTGATATAATGCCTCGTTCCACTGGTAATTCAGCCTCACTTTTAGTAGCTAAGTAATTGATTATCAGAAAACTGTGTGGAATAAGTAATCTGCTGGTGTTTATTATTATGTTCTAAAGTATGGTGACAACCCATATTTTGAGGGGATAGGTGACAGAACAGGAAGAAGGGCTCAAGACTGAGACGTGAACAATTCAAGCTGATATGGCCATGAGAACAAAGAGAGGAGGAAAATTAGGGTGTTAGGAAGACGGTAGGCTATACAGGCCATCTTGCTGACTTACATTCTGGCATTAACTAGTAAAACATCTACTTTCAAATAAATATTTATACAGCAAGTATTTCATTGGGTCTTTTAAAAACTAATGTCCTTCATCTCAGGCGTTAGGGGCTTAAAATTATATATAAGAAGGGACTTAAAAAAGTTCATGGAAAAGTGAAATTAAAAGATAACAGATAACAAGCAGAAGCAGATAACAACAAGAACACAGTCAGGCCTTGGTACCAGCTGAAGGTTACTGTCAGTCAAGGCCAAAATTGGGAGGAAAACATAAACTGAAGTATGGAGAGGGACTGTGACTTGCTTTCACACAGCGATGGGACTGGATATGGCTTTATTGATTTTAATACTAGATATGAAGGGGCCTTGGTGGGGCAACGATTAAGCTCTTGACTGCTAAGGAAATGTTGACAGTTTGAACTAACTCAGCAGCAACACAGGGAAATAGGCCCGACAACCTAATTCAGTAATATTTTCAGTTTTCAGGTCTTTCTTCTGTGCCGTGCAGGGTTTCTATGAGTGAGGGTTTCAGAATGGACTCAACAGCTTACAGAAGCACCAGATTTAAAAAACTTTGGGGCATGTGAGCTTCCTAGTTTGCTGGGAGGAACCCTGAGGACCTAGAGGTTAAAAGTTGGGTTGCTGACTGCGAGGTCAGCAGTTTGAAACCAGCAGCCACTCCATGGGTGAAAAGTGAGGTTTTCTACTCCCATAAAGTGCTACAGCCCCAGAGACCAATAAAGTTCTATCCTATTCTACAGGGTCACTATAAATAGGAACAGAATCAGTGGCAGTGAGGATTTTTTGGAGTTTTCCTGGATTCCAAATGAGAAGTTTTCGATATAATCTGTATCAACTCTGAAAGTGCTAGAAGAAAAATGTGAACATTTTTTGTTTTCCTTTAAGATAAGTCAATAAAAGAATATTAATTTCATTCCAGGAATAATGCTTTCTGGTGAGGTGTGAAAATCAGTATCCACTATGAACTATGATTACGGTCATCTCAATATATTTACAATGGGCTGATGCCTTTATTTTATTTACTTTGGGTTTTTTTTTAAGAGTAGAGAAACATCATTTCAAAAAAGTGGCTATATTTATCCACAGTCTGCTTTGTTTACGTCATAATTGTTCAAAAGAGGGTGAGATATGATAATAGTATACATTTGGCATTAGCATATGATCCTACTTTTTATTATTTTTTTTGATCCTACTTTAGAGTTAGAAATATTGACGATAATGAATATGATATAAATACAGGTACAACTTGTATGAATTCTCTTACGGAATTTCTGATGGTATGCAAGTATTTATACAGAGTTGTAATCTGAAGAGATCATAGATATGCTTCTTTGGGTAAGCCCAGGATATCCTGGTAAATGTGGTAGTGATTGTCAGAGTGCTAATACCAAGTAATAAAAGTAGGCAAAGAGAAGAAGTTGGTATGGAGGTCTAGCTAAGAGCAAGGGAGTGAGATCCTCACTTATTGTTTCTGCTCGTCTTTTCTTTTTTCCATTCAAGGCCCCTAACCAGTAACAACAGTTGTTGCCAGGGGGAGAAAATAGAAGAGAAAGAAAAGTCAAAGAACAAATAAAAAATCAGGCCAAGAAATAAATTCCATTTGTTCATGTGTTTTTAATGTAGTATATGTATTTTATAGAAATGAAAGAAGTATTTTTATGTCTATATGTCACTGAACCCAAACCAAACTCAAGCCCAATTCCTTTGAGTTGATTGAGATGCATAGTCACCCTATAGGACAGAAAAGAACTACTCCAAAGTGTTTTTGAGGCTGTAAGTCCTTATAGACCAGACTGCTTTAACTTTCTCCTATAGAGCAGCTAGTGGATTTGAACAGCTGACCTTTTTAATAGCAGCAGCCCAGTGCTTAATCCACTACCTCATCACGGTTCCTTTATTTGTCAGTCACTAGTTATCTTTAAATGACTATAGGTTATGCAGACTCATTGATTTTATACTCTAGTCAATGTCACTAACAAAATATGGCAAGGTGGTCCTAGGTTTGGAAGATAAATGTTAAGCATCCAGTAATGAAATCCAAAGGTTTAGATGTTATCATTAACTATGTTGGCCCTCATTTCTATTGACTTACTTCATAAAATAATTTTCTCTACCATGCAGTCTTACTATACATTTCATTGAGACGTTCTTTTCATGGTACCTATTGTGATTATTCAATCTCACAGCATCCATTGGAGGAGTGTTTTTACTACAGTACTTGGATTAAATTGGTATTAACATTTGGTTTAAACTAATGTTCTGAGTACTATTTATCCTAGTAATATATTTCTACACAAATACTTAATTTCATTCTCCCAAATTTTTCAATATTTAATTAAATATTAATATGTAATTCCAAATTTAATCAATATTTCCATATGATTACAAATTGTCTATTTCCAAGATCCATAATGGAAAAAAATAATTCAGAAAATTTTGTTATAGATGAATATTGATTCTTTGGCCCCAAATTTCTGTGCCATTGGCCTACCTTTTGCTTTAGGATACATGTTTTTTATTCATATTATCAAGATCAATTTCCATATAGATTATATGGATTTTTGTGTACATACTGATTTTCTCACTCAATTATGTTTAAGATATGTGGAAGAATGTTGGATTCCTATTATAAGTTTTGAAGAATAGAATGAACTCTATTAAGAACACCTGAAAAATTTTTCCGAAGGGTCTGAAGTTTCTCCTAAGATGGATGTTAAATTGCAAGACTCAAGACAATTTTTCTGCAGTTGTCGTGTTCTATAAGTATTAGAGAAATAGCAACTTTAATAGATCTGATGCAATCTTTGGCTCCATCCTGTTTAACTGTAGACTGCATTATTTCCAAGGATTAGGCTGTGTCATTAGGTGAAGGGTTAGTAGGAGACTGAAGTATCTTTGGTAAAAGGTGGGGGGGGTGCACGTTAATTACTGAGGAGAGGCTCTGATCAAAATAGGGCTGGTGTTAATTTGTTGCTCTCTGCAAATAAAACAGAGGGACAAACAGATGTAATAATTTTAGTATAAACCAGATTCTATTTAGAGGGGCTTATGTTAAAAGGACATTTCTTGTATCAAGAAAAAAAGCATGAAGCTTATCAGTATAGACATCTGACACACAGTAAGGATTGCTTGAGATATACCTGATACAGATAACATTCTATCATACAGATCAGATTCCCAGCTATGTTGCAGAGTGAAAAATGTAACTGTAGTTTCCTTCATAAGGAGTGTAATAAGATTTTTGTGTTTAGAAAGCTATTATGAAACATTAACCAATGTATATGAAGGTCAGTTGGAACCATGTGTATGATGGT